GTACGTTCCGGTATACTGGACCGTACCCAGGGTACGTTCCGGCAGTACCCTGGGGGACATAGACCCTATGAGCCTTACTGACCGTTCTCGTATTTTTCGCGGATGGTCCCTTCTCCGGCTCCTTTGCCGATTCCTCCTTCACTCCCTGTCTCCTCATCTTCCTGCCTCCCCCCACTTCAGCGAAAGTTGGTTCCCCGAGATCGCTCCCTCTCTCCTTACAGAGACGTCAAGCTGCGGCTCCGACATGTTCTTTTGTCGCCGTCGTCAGAGGAGAAGGAGGTGGGGGAGAAGGGGAGAGGGGGAGAAAAGGAGAGGGGGAGAGGGGGTAGCTACGACAATGGAGCGATCAGAGCGTGTGCTTATGACAACATCGGCTGCGCAGCTACTCTCTCTCTCTCTCTCTCTCTCTCTAAGCCGTCCTGATCCCCGATAGGAAATTCCGCGCGCTTTCTCCCCCCTCCTCCCCCTCCTCTCCTTTCTCGCACCCTCCTCCCCCCTCTCTCTCTCTCTCCCGCGCACTGCCATTCACGGCAGCCAGCAGTGCCGCCGGCGTCTCTATTGTCACCCCACACTCGGGTTACTCGCTTACTCGCCTGCCCTGCCACAGATTATAATTGCTGAGGGAAACCAAACTCCTGCTGTTCACGCTGCGTGCGAGCGGTGGCGCCATCGTGCGGTTGCTTACGATAGTAAACGCGAGCCGAATTCGTTGTGATCGTAGATTCAACATTGATCGTCTTCATATTGACTGATTGAACGATCGATTAGGTATTGATCGGTGCATTTTGCGGGTTGGAAGGGTTAGCAGTTAAAATTCGTATGACATCAATGATAGCACGCGCATATTTGTTCATGTTCTTGTAGTGTCGCTGTTGTGTGTTACTTTGTAGTAAAGATGATAAAACCACGTATATACTGTGTGTTAGATAACTCTCCGCTTGGTAGAGTACGCTTGGTTCGCTGCTGCCATCTATTGGCCAGACATGCGAAACTTCGTGTGCACGATTATTACATAAATTGACTCCAGATGGCAGCACGGGTTCCTTCAGCTCAACTACGAGCTACTGCTGCTGCTGCTGTTGTCAATAGCAACAGGTGGGGCAGCTGAGCTCTGCCGCATCCTCCAAAGATGCATCGGCAACACTTACCTGTATTCATTTTACGCACGTGTTTCAGCAGCAAGGAAGCAATATAGAGAGAATAATAACAAAATGGACTTACCTGTAATTGATGTTAATTTATGTTAATTAATGCAGGTGGCAGAGAGCGTGAGTCAGTGGAATCATCACCACCACACAAGCCATCCACGAAGAATATGAAAGAGAAAAGGAAGAACACTGTTTAGCTATTTAAAGAAACAGAACACACGTAATGTCTAACTACATCTCATCCTGACCCACTAAACCGCTCTCAGCCTCCACAGATGCAATATTTTCAATATTTTCTCCTCTATGCAGTATCATGTCTTCACCCCTCCCTCCCCTTCGGTACTAACCATTGAAAATTATAGAGACAACAATACATAGAGTCTACCTATATTATTCCTATGGTACTAACGCTCCCCCAATTGGGGGCCGATTGTGGGGGACGGGGAAAAGTGGCGACAATTTAACTTTGGTCCCTTCACTGTAACTCCTCATAGAAACCACTACGTCCCGAACACGTAGTGCACCACTATGTATGTATGTATGTATATGTATATGTATATATATATATATATATATATATATTCGTTTATCACTAAATCGTGTTGATTAACACGCCACGAATAACAGACACTGAAACGATTTGAACAGTGCGAAAGATTTTAAATTTCAAAATGTAACGAGTTTGTAACTGCAAACACATGGAAACCCATTAAATTAATCAAGCAAAAATACACCCCTGGCCACCCCATCTCTACTCACCCCACCCATTCACACATGTAGAACCCAACATCGTTGGAAATCCCCGTGTAGAGTAGAATAGAGTTTCATACTAATAACTCCCCAGTGCTCGTTACATTTTAATTGCCTACATAATACTCGTTATATAATGTGCTATTAATTACATACATGCGCCTTATGAAGTGTTTTTGCTCATATAGTAGACATAGTAGACTAGGTAGGTACGGTAGACACGCTGCACGCCCTTCTCTCCGTAGAGACTGGCCCGGGCTCAATATATTACCATACACGCACGCGTGCACGCTACGTAATCATACACGCACGCGCGCACGCTACGTAATCATACACGCACGCGTGCACGCTACGTAATCATACACGCACGCGCGCACGCTACGTAATCATACACGCACGCGCGCACGCTACGTAATCATACACGCACG